AATCAGGCCACGGAACGTCGGGCACAGAAGAGTGCAAACGAACCTTGTGCCGGCTTCAATGAGAAGCACCTGAGTATCTGGATCCTCTGTCAATCGGTTTGCTAAAACACATCCGGCAGTACCTCCTATGCATGAGGAGTCAGGGCGCAGCTCCGCTTTTAGTGGAAGCACAAACCGCCAACAATGATGAAGTCATACTTTTTTGCAAGTTTTCCTGGGTTTGAGAATACCTCAGCTGCAGCAGGAACGAATAAGGCGTAACCCCCAAGGATGAGCTGGAGCGCTCGGGAGTGTACACGCATACTTGCAATTGAAAGCTGCGAAGCAAGGAAAATTTATTAAATAGATGCGACCAGCCTGCATATAAACGATCAGTCGTGTAGGCTTCTTCGTCAAGAAATTCTCCTTTTAGGCACGAGACCTGACAAGGATATGAATCACATCGCGGCATCGACTCCGCTTATGTACACAGCCATAGGTACAAGGGCGGGCCGCTGGAGTCCGAGTTTGGCAGATTCTGACGGCCGACATCTGGGATTCAATCACTGACCATAACCTCTATATACCACTAATAATACCTTTTATATAGTTATAGAGTAGCAGGTTATTCCGAACAGTTGACAACCAGTGGTACTTCAATTATTCCCACATTTCACGGGCTAGTAATTTATTTATAACAAAATACTTCAAAATTAGGAACAGCTAATGCCTAGAGTATAGACAACAGGGCCTGGAATGCAGCAAGGGGTGGCTGCCGCTCTGCGAGGAATGAGTGATCCGCCCCGAAACAAAGCAAGGGATCGAAGGCTTGTACATCAGCGACAATCAGAGCATCGTGTGTGAATGAGCTCACGAGTTGACCCTTGAAGTCAATAAGCAGTTATGTTTGTAAATTTCATCATCTGTGCACGATCGGTTGCGCAGTGTGGCTGGAAGCGACGTCTTCAAGTCGCGGCACCGTCAATACATCTGGTGAGAATTTTCTCAAGCTCAAATCCAATATTCTAGGCCATCAGGTGTACATTGATCCACTATCAGCACTAGTATTACAATTCACATCGGCACTGAAAGCCCAATAATATCATGTCCGTCCCCGACCCTAACTAAGAACGGGGCAGGAATATCCAAAGACGTAGAACGCTCTAGGAGCTATTGTAATTAGAAAAGGTATTTGAGAGACCGAGATCGGTGGAGAAGAACGATAACGGTATGCTTATGAAACCCCATCGACTACAGACACGTGCGAAAGGACCTCGCTTGAAGCATGTTCTGATATCGGCTCCTCATACCAAGTCACCCTGCTTCCCATACGACGCATTGAGGTACTTTGAGCTCTAGAAAAGGCATAGGTTACTTGTTTCAGGTCCGATTTTAAAAGGGCCTTACACTCGTCAATGGAATGTCATCGACAATTTGGCTCGATGTGGTTAGCACCTGCACGCTATTGCCGTAGGTTTTTTTCACATTCACAGATCCTCGCATTGTCGATGTCGAAGGATATGAAAGGGTATAATCGTCGTCGGCTGGCGCCGAGATGCCTCTTCCACCCGATATTCGCACTCTGGCATTGAGGACCTGATATACGGAATAAAGTTAACCGAGTGTACGCATTCTGGTGATGGACCAAACACACCACTAGAAGACTGTTGGCATACAGCTTGGACAATGCAATCGATGGTGCGAGGTGGTAGTTGTTGTTTTGGAAAGCGACAAAGAACGACAGGTCCAAAATGGCAAACGTTGCGCAGACCAGGCCTGTCTCGACAGTAATTCTGATGAATTTGGTCAGGAGGAGGTCGGTTTGCCTGAAGCCAGTTCGGGAGTTGGTCAAATAATAAATCATGCTAGCGGCGACAGTAACATCGCAAAGTGCGGAACTCCCTAGCCATACCTGTAACATATTGTGTAAGTGGAAAATGTGGAGTATGGGGTGGGAGTACGGACCGAGGTGATTGGGAAGGTGTGGCTTTGCACTTCGGAAAACAGACCCAGCATGTGTGCGCGGATCCCGGCCGCCATTCCAGCGCCACATTGAACCAGGGAAAGCTTCATAAACGGGTTGTGAGCTTATGGGTAATGTCGGTAACGCAGGACTTACCAAAAGCACGGCGATTGGGAGATACGGCTTTTGAGCCAGGACAAAGATTCGCCATCCGAAAAACAGCTGGGAGGTTGTGGTGACTGTAAAACGTCAGTGCCTCGCAAACATGAAGAGAAAGGGGGGCATTCACTGATTGAGCCTAAGAATGGAACACTAAACCACAACAATCCGATTTCATTAAGGTCCTCGAAATTGCCCCATCCCGTTCCGAAATTACGAAATGCATCCTTCGTTGAAAGAACGGTTTGGAGAGTTTCTAAGATCATCACCCAGCCCACAATGAGTTTTGGAAGTGTGCGGTCATTAGGAAAGGCTAAGTAGTATACATCTAGCGGGAACATGTACACGTTAGACTTTCGTGCAGAAAAAGATAATTGACACTCACAAGCTTGCACAGCAAGACATCCGAATAGACCCCAGTTGAAGAGATGCCCAAGTAGCTAAAGCGAGGTACAGCCTCAGTAGCTGTGTTTTTACGTCTGACACGTTAGCTTACCAAAGGCCCTGTCCTTCAATTGATCTTCAGCAATGAGGACCACGATCATAAGAAATGACACTCACAGTTGAGCGATAAATGGAGGAATACCAGTTGGTGGCCCGGGGGGTGGTGGTGCTGACATTGTGGAGGTTGCAAGGGTGGGTAACGAATTCTCATCTTCCTTTTAAAACCTTACTATTCCAATTCGGGCTACCTTAGAAGGTATCGCCGCGTGAGTCGCATATCGGGTTCAAACTCCGGGAAATGAACGGCACTATGTCGCGAAGCGCTCAGGTGCTTCTTCCGCCCAGAGATTCCCAGCCACATAGTGTCCGATATCATGCTGATTTGCAAAAAGTAAAAAGGATAGGTCATCAGATTTGGCACTACCGTTGGCCTAGCGTTATCCTGGCGTAATAGGAGAGGGGGATTCGAGTATATGAAAAGAGTTGTCATCAAATGGAGGACGTTATGAACGTGTGTTCAGTGATAAAGTGGTGAGCAGCCTAGATCCAATCCAATCAAGAATTTGTATAGCACATGAGTTTTTGATTCTTACAACGATATATAGGTTGTCTAATAAAATGTGTAGCTTCGATGTACGTTTCGATGATGGTGTCAGCATAAATTACCTTCATTAGATTCAGATCCATTGTGTGGGTTCAGAGAAATGCCAAAAATATAACACTGGCATGCTAGTTGCTATCATTATGATCGTCTTTTAATGACACACCTCGGTAATCAAATGAGCAGATAGGTGGGATATACCTCTATCGTTGCGTTGACTCTCCCAACTAGCAGACAACGGCTCACATGGATCCTTCACCTGTCAGTGTTATCTAGCAAAAAATAAGGTTAGGACCCTCGGTTAGCTACTCATTCGACATTAATGGGACATAAATCATGTCTGAACAGTAAACCGTAATTCTCTAGCGACAAGGCCCCAGGAGGGCTTTTTCAGGCCCATAAGTGGGCGCGTATACCACGTAAACCAGTCTTGCCAATAACTCGTAATGTGCTTCAAGTTAGAAATATCGGGCCTATAATACGCATCGCCACATGGCACACATCATAAAAGATGCTGTTTTGGAAAATCCATCAAATCTGAGGAACCAGCAGGTTGGTTCGCAGAATTACAATGAAAGCCGACTTAGCGGAATTCCCAAGAACTCCCTAGCATCAGGCGTTAATGTTATTATTAATGTCGCCGATATCACCGGGGTAAACAGGGCACTTTTGTTATAATAAAGTGAAGAAACCCTGTTCGTCGAAATGACAGCCTTTGTAATCCGAAGTTGCTTTTGAAAATCGCCTTTCAACGCGAGTGTCCCTATTATGCATCTAATTTTCTAAATGTTTGGATAATGGATGGGGCTCAAATGATTGCTTGTGAAGTGCTGCTCAAGGTGGGTAATGTTCAATGTCAACTCCGATGAAGGCAACCTCTATCAAGAACCTCTCAGCTTCATGACAGTTTCTATGTGTCTGGTATATGTTCACTGGGAGCTCCTTCAACCGTCGTCCTTGACGTTCAATTGAAAATCACAGCACATTCATTGGACATCATCGTGGGGTAAATTGTGCCCAGCAGCTGCTACTGCGAAGAGGGCACTCCAGCCGGCCGGATCCCGAAGTGAAATATATGAACAAACGTACGTAGAAGGGAATCGCAAATTGCATGGCGGGAGTGGTTGCTCTGCTGCGGAAGCGAACCGACAGGCCACAACAGATATAAACAACGATTCCGCAGACGCACTCTGCCTTGTGATCATTTCCCCGTCTTGCCCGCCTTTGTTACGGCGAAACGCACATGGGGATAAAGGTACTCGAGCGATGGCATGTGAGCATTGACAGAGCAGTCAACTCGAAGCAAACTCTGAGAATGGTCAAGTGACATGATGTGAATAGTGACACAAATACAGTTAACACCTGTCACGACCAGGCATATGAAGATCTGAAATGTGGGATGTATGGATGGGATAAAAAAATATGTTGTTATGATAACACGTCTCCAAGAGTGGGCCTGTGATTAAAGGATCCAAGCCCACTACCCGCAAACCTATGTGTGAAATTATGCGGACAGTAACAGCAGTTGTGGCACGGGTCGCTATAGATATCTGTAGACCTTAAACTTCCCCGGGTGACTTAAAGAACAGTTTCTTACTTTGATCTAATTCCGAAAGGAGCATGAGAGAGAGGCAGAAACTGTAACATGCAATGGTATTTCCAGATCGGATCACGTGGGAATTAGTAGCAGGTCTGCAACGTACTCATTAAAGTCATGATCATCAGAAGTAGTATAGTAGTTAGTTATCTCTTTGGTGGAACGCAAATATCAGGACTCATGCATTTACTAATCTGGTATAAGGAATAGACCGGGTCGGCCATTGATCGCAGTGATCACCATCCGATGCAAAAAAAGGGTCTCACCAAGATTCGAACTCGGGACCACTTCCAAACGGCAGAAACACCCAAAGGAAGTATCATACCTCTAGACCATGAAACCGATGCCCGATCAGATTATTTATAGATTCTTCACTGAATTCATGCTTGATGCGCAAGCCTAAAATTTATCGGGACAAGTACACTGCATTAATGATTGCGATATTCGGCCCGAGTTGGAATTCACCTCAACAGTGTCCTTGAGTACTTATGCGGTAAGATGAGTCAATCAAAGTGGCAATGAATGTGAGGGGAATTAACAAGCTTGAGACCTTCTCTATTGGGCAATTATTCCCTAATGACTGCGAGCTCAACTCTAAAGATTAGGTGATGTCATACAGAATTTTGATGCACGATGGCAGTTCGTGATCTGCGATTCAGCAGTGTATGGTGATACTATCACATGGGCACATGGTGGCCATCTTCCATGTCACGTCAGGGTTTGGTACTATCAATACGAGGGCTGAAAACTGAAGGAAGTCCATACACGATGTTCCTACGAATGTATAGGTACTTCTGTGCATCTAAGAGGTAAGAAGTACAGGAATCATGATCCGTGTTGATCTAACAACAAATCATAACTTGCAAACCACGGCGTCCGCGTCTCATTACCAGAATACAAACGTGTGCTGTACTCGGAAGACATTCCGATTTGGCTGCGGACTAATCAAACTTTATTCTCAACAGTCATGCGAAACAGAGATTCACGTATGAGAAATAAATCGGGGAGAAGAAGCACTTAGACTGTGCAGCTATTTTTATTCAACGGAAACTACCGGGAATCACCCCCTTCGAATGACGTAGTTCGGGGTCATTATTTCTTGGGGAGTGACATCTCCTTATAAAGTGGCATTTCCCCCATAGCAAATAAAAAACGTGTCAAAATATTTATTTATTCATAGGCGGCCAGCTGTCGAACTCCGTCCCGACAAAAAAAAACAGTTTGACCCGCTAGTTCCGCCGAGGCGCCACACAACCGCACAGGAATCACTAGCTGATTGCCGGGAATATGAGAGAACCCGAGGATTACGAATGGTTACAAATACTGTCTGAGATATTGCCTCATGTGAATGAAGGTCACGGTTCAGTGAAGAATTCTTGTGACAACCCTGTAGTACGCGCATTGTCATATTAAAAAAACCCACTCATCAACCACAGCTATCTCCCATTACGCAATCATGGGTAAAATCCTAGCATCTCCTGCAGATCTGCCTCACTCCCAGTACGATTTCATTATTGTCGGTGGTTAGTCCATGTCTTCCCTCAGATCTCCGTCCGATCTTCGGCATTAATTAGTACGGTGTGCCGTAAAGGGGGCACTGCAGGTTGCGTCTTGGCCAACAGATTATCAGAGAGTCCAGATGTTAAAGTACTAGTAATCGAAGCGGGTGCAAGGTTCGCGGTTGGGGTAGCACCGTCGTCGACGTTGCGTGGCTGACTATGTGCAATACTACCATCGCAGTGCGGCGGGCAATGTGCACACGGTGATACCATTCCTGGGTGTTACATTGGCTGGAAGCGATCTCGACTGGAAATTTGAAACGACCCCGCAATCTAGCCTGAATGGCCGTACTGTCCCGTTGCCGCGGGGTCAGGTCCTCGGTGGATCTAGCGTCATCAGTAAATATATCTTATACCAAATATTCACTTGGAAGCTTATACTTCGGAAGATTTAATGACGTGGAATCGCGCTTCGAATGACCTTTGGGATAAATGGGCCTCTTTAACCGAAGACGAAGGCTGGTCCTGGAAAGAGGTAGAGAAGTACTATAAAAAGGTTTGATATATTCTCCCTCACCAGCCTTCATGATATTAAAACAGAACAGACCTCACATCTTGTACCACCGGCAGATGGACACGATACTACGGGAGAAACGATACCCGCTGCACACGGACACGGTCCCATCGAAGTCAGTGTACCTGGATACCCTACAGAACTCGATTCGCGCGTCATCCAGTCTAGCAAACAGCTAGGAGGGCGTTTCGCGTACAACCAAGACCTGAACGCAGGAAAGTGCCTTGGATTTAGTGCGTTCGAATGTAATTTTTGACCCTTTTCAGTAATTAACGCTGTCACTCAGGTCTTATGCAATCTGCTGTCGGCAAAGGAAAACGGAGTAGCGCTGCCACGGCGTATTTGGAACCGGCCCTGGAGCGTCCTAACCTCGACATACTGCAGACGACTCATGTAACCAGACTGATTCAATCTGGTTCCGCTGACGGCGTTCCTGAATTCAAGATGGTGGAAGTCGCCAAAGGTGCCGCAGGTGAATCGAAATGTAAATATTTACCCTAAAACTCATGTATTTATTTGGGAATCTTCCACCCCTAGACCAGAGGTACCAGATCAGCGCTCGGCACGAGGTTATTCTCTCAGGAGGCGTTGTAGGATCGCCACACATCCTGCTTCTCTCCGGAATAGGTCCCAAGGCGGAGCTTCAAGAAAAGGGGATCAAACCCATCGTCGACATACCCGACGTCGGCAAAAATATTTTCGACCATCCTCTCGTAGCAAACTACTACCGTGTGGATTCAGAAAAGACATTCGATGCTTTGTTAAGGGACCATGGTTTATTTGGAAAGACCATGCAGCAATGGCAAGAATCACAGCAAGGCCTTTTCGTACTCTCACCAGCGAACACACAAGGTTATTTGAGGATTCCCGAGGACTCTCCCATATTCAAGAAAGTCGAGGATCCCGCATCCGGGCCACATTCCGCCCATACTGAGCTTATTTTTGTGGTAAGTTGATGCACAGAGCCAGCTTGCATGTCCCGTCTTGTGAACTAATGCATCACAAGGGCGGATTTGCGCCATTTGGGCCAGTCGCCCCTCCCAGTGAGGGATTCTACATGAGCATACTCGCAGGCGTCGTCTCTCCTACTTCCCGTACGCATCACCCGCCGTATTTATACCGAATACCGAATGCTAACTAAAGCCCTCCACCAGGCGGCTCTATCACCCTAGCCTCCTCCGATCCGTTCGCAAAGCCATTGATCGACCTCGCTCTTCTCTCCACAGAATTCGACATCTTCGCGATCGTCCAAGCCATCAAAGATGCAGCGGAATTCATCAAGGCGTCGCCCTGGGAGGGTTTCGTAAAGGGCCCGTACGGTGCGCTCGCCAATGCCACTACAGACGAGGAGAAGGCGGAATTTGCACGCAATTTCTCTGCGACTATTAATCACCCTGGAGGAGGTGCTGCCATGTCTCCGTCCGGCGCGAAAGGGGGAGTGGTAGATTCAAAATTACTTGTAAAGGGCGTTGCTGGTGTGAGAGTTGTCGACGCTTCGGTCTTCGTGAGTTGTACAATTCCATGCATAGAGCTATCTTATATATTTTGCGATATAGCCCCTTCTGCCTGAATGCCACATTCAATCTCCTATTTATACGATTGCTGAGAAAGCTGCTGATTTGATCAAGGTGAAGCATGGCATTATTGCGTAAGAGAGAAAACTACATGTAAAGTAATGCAGTCCAATTGGACATACCTGTCTGCCTCTTGTCATTTACACATTCAAAATATGTGCACATGCATGAAAAATGCTCAGGGGAAGCGTGATGGCCGCCTATGCCGCACCGGCACAGTAAATGAAAAATATGAGTGCTCCCAATTTCTGATTCAGAGTAGGAAGCACGGCGTAGGCGCATGCCATCCCATAATGAAATTTTCATAGATTATCAGCGGAAGGACGAATAGCGAGGTTCACCTCCATGGCTCAGCAGAGTTACTTGGACAAGTCCAGATCTCTAACCATGAAAACCTGTTGTCAAATAGGCTCACAGGCAGGTCACACAAGTTGACAGGACCACAGTGTATTGTGTTATGTATTTTTAAGGTTTTTTCTATTTTTCTCAATTTCCTGAAAGGAAATTGCAAACAAAAAGCCCATAATAAAATTGTACAATATTCTCTTGAATTATGTAAAAATTATCCAATTTATTTTGTATTTTTATCTTATAAACCAAGTGGGCTATGGAATTTCTACCTTTTATTCTTTTTTAACTATATATCTTCAAAATTGGCCACCTAGCACCTATTACATGACACACAGGAGTCTTTGTCACAACAGGTGACAGTTATCACAACAAGTGACAGTCACAAAATGTGACGACTTGTCACAAATGTGAAGAGGAGTGTGACATGCGGGCAGTGACCACATGACATGCGGGAACTTTACATCATCATATATGTATGGGCGGAAACTCCTGGAATATTCCAGGTAAAATAGCTAAATTAGGATAAAAATAGTGTTGGAATTGGTAATGAAACTGTTACAACCAGAAATCCTGCTGGACTCTGGGCACTAACTTATATGCACCCACACCCTATACACACCAATTATCAGTTTACTGGAAAACCCACTGGACTCTGTATGTCAGACTTGTCCACACTTGACCTTCGTTACTTCATGTACCAGTCACTGGAATACCCGCCAGACTCTATCCCTGTCTATCTCCAACCCCATCCCACACATCAGTCACCAGACCCTGCTCAGAAAACCTGTCAGCCCTCTAACTGAGCCCCATTCCTGTTATAGTCAAATGACCTGTCACGATTTGGACTCCACTCCTGCCCTGTTCCCATTATGGTTTCATGACCTGTCACAATTTGGACTCCTGTTAAGAACTGAAAACTGACTAATGTTGGTAGGCTGATGGGGACCGATTGGAAGGACTTGGCTTCAGCTTATGTGCTGCACCCTCACAAGTAACTGTCAGGTGTCCTTAAATTTCAGACGGGCAAAGACTAGTCCTAACAAGTTCCTCACAGTGAGTTGCCACTCAGGACCGAAGGATAAGTCGAGTGTCGGGCCAAGGGGGTTGGGGACCAAGAGTGGGCGAGTGCATGTGAAGGTGGGGAGCGGGATACTTAGTGTAAAGTCAATGGAGATGTAAGTGGGTGTTCTGAGTCGATATTCTGATTGCCTAGTAACTACAACTACAGCGGGTTCATATACAAGTTATTGGCGTCTAGAAAATACTAACTAAGGGAAGAGCAGAAACATTATTTGACAAATAAACTTGACTAGGAATGGGAAGGTTACGATAAGTTCGGAGGCC